GCTGTGTGAGGGTCCGTCCTGTGGGAGGACCGCGCTGTGTGAGGGTCAGTAGTGAAGGATAAGGTGAAGTACAGACATGGACTGGTGCCAGATGGTGATGGGTTGAAGGAATAAGGGCATGTGGCTGTGGAATAAGTAGAAGGAATAGAGGTTTTTCGGCTCGAGCAGTGCCTGATATCTTGTTAGGCTGAGAGATGGATTGCCTTTACCTCTCACTGAGAGAGTTGCTGATTTCTCCCTTGTACCTTTGCAGGCGGAGCTGATTAGCAAACATGCTCAGGAGAAGTTTGAGCTGAATGAGGATTACAGCGAGCGTCAAGGCCTGAGGGGTGCATTGGGTGAACAGATGAGCTTTGGTGCTGGTCTGGTGTATTCACTTACTCTGCTGCAGGCCACACTGCACAAATACGAACAGTAAGCATGACAATTGAGAGAACATTGGCTTGGAGACAGGAGGTTGGTCAGCTTCTTGCACTTATTCGAAATAGTGTGGACACAACTTAGCATTGACCAGAAACTGAACTGGACTCACCACATTAACAGAGTGGCTACAAGAGCAGGTCAGAGGCTAAGAATCCTGCAGCGAGTAACTCGCCTCCTGACTCCCCAAAGCCTGCCCACCATCTAGAAGGCACAAGTCAGGAGTGAGATGGAATACTCCCCACTTGCCTGGATGAGTGCAGCCCCAACAACACTCAAGAAGCTTGACACCATCCAGGACAAAGCAGCTGCTTGATTGGCACCACATCCACAAGCATCCACACCCTCCACCACCAACACTCAGTAGCAGCAGTGTGTACTATCTACAAGATGCACTGCAGAAATACACCAAAGATCCTCAGACAGCACCTTCCAAACCCACGACCACTTCCATCTAGAAGGACAAGAGCAGCAGATACTTGGGAACACCAAGTTCCCCACCAAGTCACTCACCATCCTGCCCAGAAAGTAAGGGAGGGATTGTTGGACAAATGCTGGTTTCAGTGTGTGAACTTTGCTGACTGCTATTTGTTTCCCAGGGCTCTAGGACAGTGCAGTGTGGATGTCTATAAGAAGATTGGAGGCCTTTACCCTGAGATGAGCGTACATGAGCGATCACTGGATTTCCTCATCGAACTCCTTCACAAAGATCAGTTGGACGAGACCGTCAATGTGGAGCCTCTCACCAAGGCCATTAAATACTATCAGGTACCAGAGGCCCTCTCACACTGCACAGTCTCCCAGTCAGTGACTGATCGTGATTGCTGGGCATTTCTTAGTCGCTGTTACTGAGACTGGCTTTTTTGTAATGGGGATTAAATTAAGTGAGGTGCTATAATAGGATTGAGGCTACATCTCCCACAGTATTCCCCTAACCCTCTGGTTTACTCGTCAGGAATAATGCTGGTACACCACCAGCTCTAACACACGAGCCCTGATTGCTGTCAGTGCGCTCTCCCGCGTTATTAATGACAGACTATCACTGTGTTAGTATCAGTGGATCATCTGTGATTCCTCGCAGTCAGTTACCCAGGCTTATGGTCAGTAACCTATTCGCTGGTCACTGTCAGCGCATTATCCTTTGTTACTATTGGTGGATTATTACTATCAGTGGATTACTGAGTTCATGGTCAGTGGGTTCTCCCTGATATGATGATTGATGGGTTATCCTAGGTTCCTGTCAGATGTTATGATCAGTGAAGTCTTGCTGAAAAAAGAAATATTTTATCCAAGCTCATTGTGTTGCATGAAAAGGGACAGTTTGCAAGAAACACCAGTTGAAGAGGAAATCAAACAGGCAATGAGAGGACAATGCTGATTGGTTGGTAAATGAACCCTGGTTGGTTACATGCTTGTTGCAAACAGGCATAGGGCCTACATCAGCAATCACCCACTAACCACTGAGAATATTTGTGTCACTGCTCCTGGGTTGTGAGCCTGATTCCAGAGCCTTACCACTGACCACACATCTGCCAGGTGTTTCCAGGAGGTGGAAATGGTTCCTTGGATTTGGGCATTCCTTTCTCCAGTTCCTTTTCCCTGCTTCCTCTTGCTGATGGGTGCTCTCAAACAATTGTGACCCTTCAGACAGGAGCTTCTTCCAAGTCAGTTCGAGGGCCTCCCATGAGGTGGGATGTATGTTTCATTTTTTGAGGGAAGCCTATAGGGAGTTTTTGAAACACTTCCTTTGTCCTCCTCATTAGATTGCCATCTTTGAGCAGGGTAAAGAAGATTTGCTTTGGCAGTTAGAACTCGGGCATCCTAAGCAAGCAGACAACCCCACAGAGTTGGTTTTGGATGATCATGGCTTCAATGTTGGTGTTATTGGCTGTTTCAAGGATGCTGATGTTAGTATGCCTGTCCTCTTGCTGATGCGGAGATTCGTCTCAAACAGTGGTGATCATACTTTCTCAAGGGCCTTGAGATGGTGTCAGACAGATTTATAGCAGAGGAAAGAGCCCTTTGGCCCATCATATCCACACTGGTCAACAAAAACCACCAAACTGCTCTCATCCCATTTTCCAGCACTTGACCCATAGCCTGTCTGCCTTACCTTGCAAGTGCACATCTAAATACAGTGTGATGAGGGTTTCTGCCCTTACCACACTCACAGGCTGTGAGTTTCAGATTCCCACCACCCTCTGGGTGAAATAGGTTTTCCTCACATTTTCTATAATCTCCTGCCCCTTACCTTCAATCTGTGCACTCTGGTCACACTGACCCCTCCAGCAAGGGGACAAGTTCCTTCCAGCCTGTCCCTCCTCATTTTATACGTCTCAATCGTGTCCCCTCACAATCTCCTCTGCTCTAAGGGAAACGCCCCCAGTCTGTCCAATCTCTCTCCAGCCCAGCAACATCCTGGTAAATCTCCTCTGCACCCTTTCCAGTCCCTGTCACATCCCTCCTAGAATGTGGATCACAGAACTGCACACAGCACTCTAGCTGTGGCCTAACCAATGTTTTATACAGTTCCAGTATCACTCACAGCTCTTAAACTCAATGCCTTGGCTATTAAAGGCAGGTATACTATACACCATCTTAACCATTTTATCCAGCTGTCCCGCTCCCTGAAGGGATCGATGGTCATGCATGCCAAGGTCCCCCAACCCTCTGTGCTTCCCAGGGTCCTACTGTCCATCATGTATTCCCTTGCCTTGTTTGTCCTGCCTAAGTGCATCACCTCACATTTATCTGGATTTAATTCCATTTACCACTGACCAGTCTGTCTATACCCTGCTGTAATCTAAGGCTATCCCTCTCCCTGTTTCCGCTTCACTAATTGTTGTATCATCTGAAAATTCACTGATCAACCCTCCTGCATTCAAGCTGAATTCATTGATATAAATCACAAACACTGACCCCTGTAGGACCCCACTGGACATTGACTTCCAGTCAGTTAACACCCCTCAACCATTAACTGCTTCTTCCAGCATCTTAACCAATTGTGGATCCAATTTACCAAATTTCCTTTACCTTTGCTATCAGTCTGCCATGCAGGACCTTATCTAAAACCTTGCTGAAGTCCAAGTCAAAAGCCTTTCCTATACATAGTCCAGGTTAGGAATGAGACAGAGAGTCGGACGATAACTGCCTCAGTCACATGGATCTTGGTATCAGCATGGGTGGCATGGTCAAAGATTCTCAATCCTTAGGCACCTGAAGACAGCGCTTGTGGATTGGATTCAGTGTTGAGGATCTGCATCAATGGCAGCCTTTGATGATCAATGGCTCCCCACATCAGGGAATTGCTCCACATTTGGGAGGATTTCTCCGTTGATCTTAATGGAGGGATGGACCAGAACCTGCCCTGGGATGGGTTGATAAAGGACTTGAATCTCAGTAGCAGCAGTGTGTACTATCTACAAGATGCACTGCAGAAATTCACCAAAGGTCCTCAGGCAGCACCTTCCAAACCCACGACCACTTCCATCTGGAAGGATGATTGGTTGATTTATTGTCATGTGTACCGAAGGACAGTGAAAAGCTTTGTTTACGAGTGGTACAGGCAGATCATAGTAAGCAAAGGGTGTACAGATCAAAAAGACTTAGAGGCACACAGGTTACAATGCACAGGGCATGCGTTAGGTGAGATCAGCATTAGTAAGGTCAACGTTATTTAAGGATAGAGAATCCATTCAACAGTCTGATAACAGCCGGAAAGAAGCTGTTCCTGAACCTGCTGGTGCGTGTGTTCAGGCTTCTGTACCTTCTGCCTGATGGAAGAGGTTGTAGGAGATCATTACTTGGGTGCAATGGGTCTTTGATAATGTTATCAGCCTTTCCGCAGCAGCAAGCTGTGTAAATGGAGTCCATGGATGGAAAGTTGGCTTCCGTGATGGTCTGGGCTGTGCACCTTCTGTAGTTACGGTCCTGGGCAGAGCAGTTGCCGTACCAGACCGTTATGCACGTGGACAGTATGCTTTCTGTCTGGTACTCTACCAGGCTGTAATGTAAATCCTTACCTTTCAATTCTCTTGTATAACAACATTATATTTATTTTTGCTCTAAGATTTGTACCTAGGTACTTGTACCTAACATGGCGCATTAAAAAGCAGCCCAAAACTTGTCACTGTACTTCTGTACTGGAGTACAGGTGACAATAAAGGATATTCTATTCTATTCTGTTCTTCAATGGTGCACCTGTAGTAGTAGGTGAGGGACCCTATGGACATGCGAAATTTCCTCAGCTGCATGAGGAAGTAAAGACGTTGTTGTGCCTTCTTGACCGTTGCATCAATGTGGGAAGTCCAGGACGGATTTCGGTTATTGTCACTCCGAGGGCAGCACGGTGGCTCAGTGGTTAGCATTGCTGCCTCTCAGTGCCAGGCATCTGAGTTCAATTCCACCCTCAGGTGACTGTCTGTGTTGAGTTTGCACATTCTCCCCGTGTCTGCGTGAGTTCCCTCCGGGTGCTCTGGTTTCCTCCCACAGTCCGAAGATGTGCAGGTTAGGTGGATTGGCCATGCTAAATTGCCCATAATGTCCGGGGATGTTTAGATTAGGTGAGTTATTGGGGGGAGATGTGGAATGGGTCTGGGTGGGATGCTCCAAGGGTCAGTGTGGACTTGTTGGGCCGAAGGTCCTGTTTCCACACTGTAGGGAATCTATGAACTGGATGCTCTCAACCTCAGTTCCATTGATGTAGATGGGGACATGTTCTCCTCCTTTTTTTCTGAAGTCAATGATCAGTCCTTTAGTTTTTCCAACATTGAGAGAGAGGTTGTTTTTATTGCACGATGTCACCAAGCCCTCTATCTCCATTCTGTATTTTGATTCATTGTTGTTAGATATCTGTCTTACTACAGTGATGTCATCAGCAAACAGAGACAACAAGGTGTAGAGCTGGAGATAGTAGGAACTGCAGATGCTGGAGAATCCGAGACAACAAGGTGCAG